CATCAACAAGTTCCGACCGGCGACAACACCACCTCCGGCCAGCTATTTCGACCAGTGAGGACACTCTTTCCGGCGACTTATATTCCGGCAAGGTCACAATCTCGTAAACCCTTTTTGTCAAAAGCCCATTCCGATAAACATCGTCCTCTCGGCTTCAACGCACGGTAAGGTCATGCTAATTGTTTGAAGAGTATATAGTTACAACCATTAATTGTTTGTGGTTTGAGGAATCTAACTCTTTTCTTTTTTCACAATTTGCAAACACATTATTTCGCACACAACGTGTTCGACAAATTGACACAACTAGGCAAGAGGGTTATATTGTTTGCATCCACTTACTTCATTTGTGAGTATTCCATAACCGATCATGGGAAAGGCTTCGTCATCAAAAGCTCCCGCCAAAGCTCCCTCCAGAGGCAAGAGAAAAGCAATTATAGCAACCCCAACCCCAACCCCACCTACTTCACCGGACTCAAACAATAGCAACTCAAACTTGGATGCCGAAACTCAAACTTTGGCTCAAAGGCACGGCATTCCATTCCCAGTTTTCTCTCAAGATGAGGTGCACTCATACAAACGCCTCATGAAAATGAAATGACGGATCCCAAGGACACTTGATTGGGAGTTGCTAGACTCGCTAAAAATCTCGGATGACGTGAGGAAGTACTTGAAGGCCCTCAATCTTGACAAGTACGAAACCATGGACAATGTGGCATGCGTGGAACTAGCGGTTGATGCGGCAAACTATTTCCTCCCTCCGACAGTTGACGCGGGCGCTCCAGACGCGCGATCTCAACAAGCCCCCGCTTTGTTCGATACATTCATCGAGCATAATGATAGGTGTTGGGAGGAGCACGACAAGAGGTTCGATACTTGTGTTAAGGATAATGATAGGCGTTGGGTGGAGCACAACAAGAGGCTTGATACTTGGGTTGAGGATAATGATAGGCGTTGGGTGGAGCACAATGTCATGATGCGTATGTACATCGAGGACAATAGTAAAGAATGGGCACAACACAATGAACGATGGATCCAATGGGAGTCTAAGCACTTTGATCAGTGGAAACAATGGGACGACCAGTTTCAGCAATGGGACGTTCGCTCGAGTTTAGGCACCAGACTACCCTCCCCTCCACCTCCACATCCACCATCGGTTGCACCGGATGCACAGTGACAGTGCGTTGTTTTTAGGCAAATACTTTTATTCCAGACACCATAATTATCAGTTTTATCTTTTGGTTTTGGTTTGACTTATGGATTTGGTTTGCCTTTTTTGGATTTGTATTTTCTTATGGATTTGGATTGTCGTTTGGATTCGACATTTGATTTGGTTTGTCTTTCAGTTTTGGTTATGATCTTGATATGATTGATATGATTTACATTATATGTATTGCGATGTTTTGACTATGATTTGTTTCAAAATGAACGGAAAGATAATCTACTTTATAGGTATAACGATCGTTTAAGGTGGATTTGGTTTGTCTTTTGGATTCGACATTTGAATTTGGTTTGTGTTTTCGAATCGACACCTGGATTTTCAGTTTTATTTCTTTTCTTACAATATGGATTTTATTTTCAGTTTTGGCTATGACTTTGATGTGTTTGATTCATATGATTCTTGTGTTGATTTTTAAAATTGTTTTTTCCATTATAACGAATGTCGATTCGTTTTTTGGTACAAAAAACGATTATATAATCGTTATATTGAAAATAACTCCATGTCACGACCGCGACACTTGTCGCGGTCGCGACATTGGGACCTCTCTCGAATGGACAGAGAAAGTTGTAAGGACGTCGCGGCCACGACAGACGTCGCGACCGCGACAAGATTTTTATTTTTTTTCCCCCAAATTAACGAATATATATTCATTATTTCATGCAAAAAAACGATTATATACTAATTATATTGAAATAACGATTACAAAAAACTATTAAATATCAAGTATGAAATAATGAATATATATTAACTTGAACGAATATATATTCGTTATATATTAACTTAAAATAACGAATATATATTAACTTTAACGAATATATAATCGTTATATTCATTATTTAAACTTGAAAAATGACTAAAATTAAACCTATTAGGAGTTTAATATCTTTATAATGTATTATGTGACGAATGCACGGCCGCGACACACGTCGCGACCGCGACATTAATTGTTTTTTTTTCTAAAGTAACGAATTAGAATCATTATTTTGTACGAACAAACGATTATATAATCGTTATATTGAATCGTTATTTTGTACGAACAAACGACATGGATTTTTTTTTTTTTTTTGATTTCTAAAATAACGAATATAGAATCGTTATTTTGTACAAAAAAACGATTGTATAGTCGTTATAATCGCGACACGCAACTTTAATTTGCATTATAGGTATAACGATCGTTTAAGGTCGATTTTGTCGAAAAATATGATTTCTACATTCTTTGTAAATTCGCTATTTTAACTATAACGACTGTGCATTCGTTATTTCAATGATATAACGAATGTAAAATCGTTATTTTTTGTTTTAAAAATGGAAATAATAAATGCGCTATCTTTTTAAATTCGCTATTTTAACTTGAAAAATTATTGGAAATTAGACCGAGAACGAGTTTAATATCTTCATAATGTATTATACGATGAAAACACGATCGTTTAAGGTAGATTTGGACGAAAAACAATCATAATTAATGCACAGTCGTTATTTCATTGTTATAACGAATAAACGTTCGTTATATTTGTTTTCCGAAATGACAGAACCATTGTCCAGGTCGTCACAGGCGCGACACTTGTCGCGGGCGCGACACACATATGACAGAACCTAAGCCAAGTTCGTCGCTGGCGCAACGCCGGTCGCGGGCGTGACACAGAGGCTAACAGACATGTTTCCAGGGCGTCGCGGGCGTGATGGTTGTTGCGGTCGCGACACTGGCGATGACAAATCTGTTGCCAGCCCGTCGCGGCCGGGATGAACGTCGCGCCCGTGACATGTAACTTTTTTTTATGAAAACGAACGTTCATCCGTTATTTCATACAAAATAACGATTATACATTCCTTATATTGAAATATGTATATATCACGGCCGTGACTTCTGTCGCGGACGCGACACTAGGACCTGTCTAGAATGGACAGAGAAAGTTGTCCCAGTGTCGCGGGCGCGACGGACGTCGCGGCCGCGACAAGCATTTTTTTTCAGAATAACGAATTGTTCATCAGTTCCTCGACTTATTTTCGGGAGCTCGACATCGAACCCTTTCGTTATTTATTACACTAAAACTTCTCGTTACAATAATATTTTTTAACGAAGTTGATTAAAAAACATAACCACTATATTTGGAAGTACGTATAACACATGAAAAACCATTGCATTGAATAACACATGAAAAAATAATACAACAATGTATTATCCAAAAGATCCATACAACTCGTTACATAATAAATGTTTAAAACAAACTATGGATCAAAATGAGCACCAAATATCTCAGCAGCTAGTTTTTCACGCCAAACACTATTCCGAGATTGATCTACGTCTTCAACATTCTTCCCAGCATACAAAAATTCTATAAGCTTGATTGTAAACATCCCACAATCAACCCTGCACCATAAATGTACAAATTCTATTAATTTACCAAGTTTCATAATACAGTTAAAAAACCTAATATGATCAAAATATATATTATACGTACCTATTGCTTTGGCTAGGAGCTGTCAATCGTTTCCAAGCAAACTTTTCGGCACTGTATTGAGCATTCATCTTCGTCAGTAGCATCGGCACCACAACTCGAATGGGCTCAAGTTGCTTCTCTAGTTGTGCCTTCCGCAGGACAGTTGTTCCGCTATCATAGACGTAAATGTATCTCTTCGATAGATCAATCTCTAGTGCGAGCCAGTGGCCCTCGCCTTCCTTGCAGAGACTGCTTTAAGAAATTTCGCACGTACATGACAAAAAACGTGTCCAAGACAACACAATCTTGTCTAAACAAGAGAGGAAACTGTTTACCACGCTCTCGAATGTGAAAAAGCGCTTCATCTACATGCTAAGAGTATAATGTTTATTAGATTAGTGAATATCATGCTTTTCAAAGGTCAAATATTGAATAAATATTTTTAAAAAGTTTACCTGACTAGAAAGCCATCCATCGTTGAGAAGTTGATTAAAAAAGACATTCTATGCTATACCACGAGAGGACAACTCAACACTACATAAAAAATCAATACATTAAACAAAGACATACAACATTATATACTACAATAAGTAGCCAACAATTAACTTAACACAATTACATACCTTTCAGTGGAGCTCGACAACCACGTTTAAAGATCTTCAAGTTTAGCTAGATCCACTGGCCTATAAGGGTCATACTCTGTCACGGTTGGAATTTTTTATATTTTTTCAATATTCCTAAACAGAGTACATAGAACGGCGGCCTTTCTTTTCTTCCGGTGCCCTCTCCCCTTAAGAGACTCAAGTGGATCGTCTACAACGATTTTCTCTATATCTATTGGTGTCGGCTCTATCTCCACTGGTGCCCGCAGTTGTCTCTCTTTGTAAACAACAATGGCTGATGACGAGCCGGTCACAAAACCTACAATAAGCAAAAAAACAGTCAATACTCATATATTTACATGAATGCACCATTAAATTACGTAGTAGTTACAATTATATTTTATATACATACCTGCATCATCATTAAGTCCAGCCATTTCTTGTTGGGGCATCGGAGATGGTGATTTCACCGTGTCTGCGAAAGAGAAAAAAAAATAAGTGATTCAATAACATGTAGCATTTGTTTTAAAATATAACAAATTATACTTTACAATTCTATTTTTTTTAATAATCGAATACCAACATTAATATGATGCATTTATTTAAAAAAAAAATACCTTCAACACCATCTACACTTCGAGCGGTCTCCGTATCCCGCTCCGGATCAACCTCTTCATCAACATTTGTCCCGTCATATGTTTCACGGGTAGATGGACCATCTTTTGCTTGAAAAACTAATTTTTATATTCGGTCAAACAATTTGTTCATCTTAGTCTCCATCTTCATCTCCATTCGGTCCATCTTCATCTCCATCTTCATCTCCATCTTCATCTCCATTTGCTCAGAAAATATTCTCATCTCCTCCTCTTCCTCATCCTCCTCATCCTTATCCTCTTCTTCTTCTTCTTCTTCTTCTTCTTCTTCTTCTTCTTCTTCTTCTTCTTCTTCTTCTTTAGGGACAATTGCTTCTTCCTCGGTTATACCGAATTCCTTCAAGTACGAAGTTTCAACTTCATCACTTGAGGGTTGTAATGTTCGTCGAACTTCAACATGATTGTAGTATAATTAGTTTTTTCAAAACTATAACAATAAATAAGATGATTTATCTATAACCAAAATTACCTCCGACGCGTTGAAAAACATACTAATTTGCTCGCTTCGCCATTGTTTACTCATTTTCCAAGACATCATTCTCGGAAGTCTGCCACTACCATAAGTTTGAGCATATTTTCTTCTAAGCTCAGGCAGTGCGTCAAATGCCCAAACCTACTTAGCAAATAACAAAACAAAATTAAGAATACAACTAGCATAAATAAATAAAAAAGAGCATAAATATAAATAAGAACAAATTAAGAAAAATACCATGATAGCGAGGGGAAATCCATGCAGAGAATACTTTATCGCATTTATATTCTTTTTAATACCGAGAGTTTTTCGTTTGAACAACTTTACGGTGTACTCGTACGACAAGTTCCCCCAAGGATAGCTATTAAATTGTTCCAAATTAATCTTCAACGAGATGAAACCATCTTTCATCCACAAGAGTCCGGCACTCGTTAGACAACACCGCATACTCGAGGACAATGAGAAGCCCCAATTTATACTTCAAATCTGCATGTTCCTTTTGTACCAAACCATCAAATTGCTCGAGCAAGTCTTTCTTCATTATCTTTCCTTTCTTCTCTTTGAATAAATCTCAAACTGAACTACTTCTTTTGGGGATCTCGTAAGACACATCATCAACAATTTCAACCGCTTACAAGAGAGAATTCTTGTAACCCGAATCTGGCTTCCTTTTCTCCAAATTTGGACCACACGGCATCTTTTTCATTGTCGGGTGATTTCAAGGTCCTCTGAACAAGGTGGTGGATTGAGACGACAATTTCAACTCCAGAATGTGCACTAGTTGCCGGAAGCAAGATTCCACAAATAAATCTTGATGTTCATCACCTAGATTCTTAAATACATGCTCGAAAACCTTGAGGTCGCACCTATTGGTCACGACTCCGGATCATGTAGGAGGTATATGGAAAGTGATATGAGATATTATCTCATCTTCCCCATCTATCGAGATGGATGGTCTAGTGAGGGTGCACATCGTATCGCTTATATAATTGATGATCGAGCAGATGAACTAATCGAACAGAAGTAAATGAACCGATCGACCAGGGGAATTAGTCAAACAGAATATTAAAGCAGCGTGTTAAACCGGAAAGTGGGGATTTAACAACTCCCCAATATTCGGGAATCGTGGATGGAAGCAGTTAGATCGTGGGTCAAACCGTTATCCATAGAGATATATAGGAAGGTAACCGGCTCTAGGTAAAGGGGATATTATTACTTCTTGAATACACACTCTTCTAAAAAAGAAAAAAAGAGAGCAAGAGGAACTAACTTAGTCATCGGAGAGTCGAGCCGGAGACATCTCTTCTCCGGTATTGGCTTTTTTGCAGGTATTGAAAGAGATCAACCGGTGTGAGAGGTGAGATTTCAAGGAGCTCAGCCGGTTCAAGGTATAAAATTCATACCATTTTGGCGCCGTCTGTGGGACTATTTGAATAACAAGCTTTTGATTTGCAACACCTAAGGCTATGACGAACGGCATTCCGAGAAAAAACTTACAATCGTCATTTCATGATGCATGGGTCGAGACGAGGCAAATGGAAGAAGGCCCACCTCCGGGTTTTGCTGGAACATCTCAAACACCAGTAAGTTACCCAACTGTAACTCAAGGCGGAGGAAATCTGGCCACTGTAACTCAAGGTGGAGAAAATCCGGCCACTGTAATCCAATGTGAAGGAAACCCGGCCACTACAACCCAAGGTGGAGGAAATCTGGCGACTGTAACTCAAAACGGAGGAAATCCGGTAACTGTAGCCCAAGGCGAGGGAGATCTGGTGATGCCTCCAGTAAATGGGGAGCAGGACAGGGTAGTCGAACCAGCGCCCCAAGCAAACCAGGTAATACCGCAAAATGAGGGGGCTAGAGTCCAACCCGTACCACCCTTGATGGCGGCTCGACCTCCAGGACAACAATTGGTGACCTTGACCAGAGAACAGTTAGAGCAAATGATAACCAATGCTACTGCTCGAGCAGTACGGCAGGTAACAGCTAGTCAATCTCAAGCAACAGTTGTCCCAACAACAATGAGTGAAGCCAATGAGGAGGACGCATCTAGTCATAGAGACACGCTTCCTCGCGGAGGGGAAATGGAAAGACTGGTCGAGCAGGTGAGGCAACTACAAGAAAGAGTGGATGGTCGATCATCTGGACGCGTTCGGGGACATCCTTTCTCAACCCGAATCTTGGATGCACCACTACCGGGAAATTTCAAGGAAACCCACTTGGTGTTTGATGGAACAGGTGACCCATCGCGATACATTCGAACTTTCGAGAACATGGCAGTTTTGCACGGGTACTCAGAGGCGGTAAGTTGTAGGGCGTTCTTGTCGACCCTAAGGGAAGGAGCTTTGGATTGGTTTAATCAACTTCCCCCAGGATCGATCAAAGATTTTGAAGATTTCACGGATAAGTTGTTGAACCATTACTCCAGTTCGGTATCTCAGGAAAAGACCTATCTTACTTTGATGGCGATGAGGCAAGGAGAACATGAGTCACTTCGTAAATATGTGGCTAGGTATAATCAAACATTCTTAGAGATACCTTGAGCATCGGATGAGGTTAAAGCAGGAGGACTTCAGCATCATTAGAGGGTCCTTTGCTAGAATCAGTTGGCTTGGGTTGCATGCGAGGGGGAGGAACAAGAGGATTCGCCTTGGTCGATTCAGATAAAGCCTTGGACAGAGACACAGGAGGCACGCCAGGTCGAGGAAGCTCGAAGACTTTCTTGATCTGCTCATGGCTAGCCAAAGCGCTCTCTAAAGTACCCGTCCACCAGGGGTGATTGACAGGTAAGCTAGGGTCGCCCTTGAAGTTGACGGGTACTTTAGGTATTTCATCCCAAATTTTTGCCACGTCAAGGCACTCAAAGTCATCCTCGGCCCTTTGCTCAGATGCCTTGGTCATCGCGAAGCTGAAATATTCGCTGCCAAGCTCTTGAACCTCGGACAAGTACTGTGTTGACTTCTTATAGTCGGCCACTACTTGGTTCCGATAAGCTACCAAAGAATTTTTGACCGACAATGGTGTGCCACATTACTTGACGAGCACGAGCACCAGCAGCTTGACCGAGTCGGCTCTGGAGCTTTTTTTCTTCCTCGACCTGCGCCTCCAGTGACTTGACTTCCTCCTCGAGCTGTTGATTTTTTTCCTTTGCAGCCTGATTCTCTTCCTCTAATACCTTGCTCTTTGTCTCGAGCGACTTGAAATCTTTACGTAGAGGAACGAGCTCGGCAAGGCAATCCGCGCGCTGAGAATTGGCGCGCTCAAGAGATCCTTGCACCAGCTCGAGCTGTTTCTCAAGAGCTTGGATTGATCGACCAGACCCACCTTGAGAAGCGGCAAGAGCAAGCAGGGGCGCCAGATGCACGATGCCCTATATTGAACCATGTAAGAAAACATGAATAAACAACAAAAAAAATAAATAAATAAATAAAATATAGGTGAGTCTTAAACCTGAGCGAGCAAATCGACCAGTATGGGACTACAAGCTGCGAGAGTAGCAGCGTCGACTTCAAAATTGGTGGTAGACAACATTTCTTGAAGAAAGGAGGATACAGAAGTCTTGACCGCAGAAGACGAATGAAGAGACTGGTCAAGGCGTTGGCGCTTGGAGGCGCAGTCTTCCTCGAGGATAAGCGGACGCTTCTCCTTCAAAGCCTCAAATGTTTTTTCCTGCTCAACCAGTGGTTTGGACGAGCAAGAAGGGATATTAAGGGAAGTAGGTCGTGGAGAGGAAGGGAGGTCTATATTATGATCCATCTCTTGATAATCAGAGTTCTGACCATCCGAGTTCTGGTCTAACTGATCAGAAGAATTGATCGGATGATCCTCGACAATAGGTGGAGAGTTAGGTCGCGCCTCGACGGTAACGGCAGAACCAACCCCGACAGGTGGCGTTACTTCAGGCTGGGAAGAAGGCTCTTGAACGACCCCAACATTCACAACGGGAGCATTCGAAGTATTGGCAGCCTGGTTAGTGGATCTTGTTGTTTTCTTTCGAGGAGCCCGTCTCTTCACCACAGGGACAACTGGCATCTCTGACAAAAGAAAAAAAAAAGAGAAGTGATAGACGTCATCATGATATCATAAAAAAATAATAATAGTAAAATTTTAGAGACAAGGAAAAGATGAGCAAGAAATATATCCACAAGTTGTACCAGGATCCTCGGGAATTCTTATCGACTCTATAACATCGATAGTAGGAGGGGGAAGGGCCTTGTGGGTAAGAATGCCACAATAGTGCAAAAGGGAATCATTTTTCAAAATAGTGTTCGATTTCACAGATTTTTTATTCCAAAGATGGATACACTGGTCGAACAAAGGATTAGAAGGAGGAGTCATAGCTTCTCGAGGAATGTCCGTTATCCAGGGTAAAGGATCCCAAGGCCAAGCAGATATAGGTTTCACAAAGGTAAAAGTGTCTTTCCATCCGGGGCAGTTAGAAGGTCGATCAGAAATAAAGCGTACACCATTCCTCCCCTTTAAATATATGCCTGATGGCCCTTTCGAAAGTATGTAGCAATAAGAAAAGAAGTCCAGGTCGAGTCGACCTAGGCGAACGCGAGAGAGTATAATGTAAGATACAAGGGTACGAACAGCGTTGGGGGGCAATTGGTTCAAAGGCAACTCAAACCATGAACAAAGAGTTAAGAGATCTGGGCACAGAGGAAACATAACTCCCATATCGAGATGGATTCTAAAAAAGGTATAATATCCCTCAGGGGGCTGGAAAGCGTCATCGCTAGGGTATGGTCGAAGGTAAGTTCCAGGGTGGCCGTATTTATCGTGGTCCACCCATTTAAGGGTGTGGGTACAACCACGAGATTTCTTCACTTTAAGGACCGAAGAGCGAACAGATCTATTCGAAGAAGATGACGGTCGATTAGGTGCAGGGTTTATCCGAGGAGGAATTAGAGTGCTAAGAGGTCTGTTATCATCATCTTCTTCATTTGACTCGGCCTCATCCATTTCCCCTATCACTGGTCTACGACGACGTTGAGAATTCCCTGTTTGGGGCAGAGGTAGAAGGAATGACTCAGGCTCGATGCCTTCGGGCCGAAGAACACTCAGAGGAGTGACGTTTAAAGGAGGCGGAAGAGGTGTGTCCCCGCCGGTGCCAACATGTTCCCCAGGATTAGAGGAATCTGAAGAAATTGGATGAAGCAAATGATTAACCACATACTGGCTCACATAAGGCCAGAGGCGCGGGCGAATTAGGGATATGAGAGACCTTGGAAATTCTAAATCAAACTAGAAAAGAATCGCATACATACCAGAGAGGAAAACGTTTAAAATTAAAGCAAAAGGGAGGAAACACTTACTCATCATCGTGGATGGAAGAATTAAATGAAGCAGCTTGAAAGTCGACAGGAGATCTCGCGCAGATAGCACAAATAAGTAAATTGCAAAGGAAAGCAGCAAGAAATTAGCAGAGAAGAAAGAGGAAAGTT